AGAAGCCCATTCTAGACAGCCATTTTGAATCCGATCTGAAAAATAAATAATGTGCATCAGGAACCTGTAATGTCTAATATATGTACCAAGTTTGAACGAAATCCATCCATAAATGCCAGAAATGCTTGATATTTGATGATTGTTTAGCACAAAAAAGGCCACCATTTGGCCATTTTGAATAGGATCGTAAAACCAATATAACTGTCTATCTATGACATGATGTATAATGAATATTTAAAATTTGAACATAATCAGTGAAAGCAAGTCAAAGATATGGCACATTCATTAATACAAAATGGCCGCCAGTCGGCCATTTTGAATCTTATCTGAAAAACAAAATTATTTGCATCAAGGTCCCATAATGTCTAATGTATATACCAAGTTTGAACAAAATCCATCTGTAAACAGCCAAGAAATGCTTGATTTTGATGATTTTTAGCACAAAAATGGCCGCCATTCGGCCATCTTGAATCAGATCGAAAAACAAAATGATGTGCATCAAGGTCCTATAATGTCTAATGTATATACCAAGTTTGAACAAAATCCATCTGTAAACAGCCGAGCAATGCTTGATTTTGATGACTTTTAGCACAAAAATGGCCGCCATTCGGCCATCTTGAATCAGATCGTGAAACAAATTGACGTGCATATGTATAATATCATGTATGATGTATGTGTGAAGTTTGATTGTGATTGGTCCAGGCATTTCTAAGATACAGGTCCGGACGCACGCACAGACGCAGGCACGCACGCACACACGCACGGACACACGAAGGTCAAAACATAAGTCCCCGTTTTCGGACTGCGTGCGAACGGGGACTAAAAATACTGACATTTAGGCATTATGTGTAGCCTGGCAGAATACATGTTCATAGTAAACTAAGAATTCAACATGAGAATTTCTCTACAAACAATAAAAATTAGTGTTAGTATACATGTACTCACATGTGTTGGTGTGCACTTTTCATGGCTTTGGCTGCATATCCCATATTCTTGAGAACTTCTGTATTTGTATTAGCATTTTCAAGAGCTTCTCTTTGGAATTCTATAGTTGATAATGTCCCATCTATTTGCTGTAACTGTTTTTCAAGCCTTTTCTTTCTTTTTAACGCAGCCAAAGCAACTGAAAAATAGAATTAAAAGATAAAAGTAAGACAATTAACAGATAATTAGTTTACTAATGCTGCCACCTATCACAAGTCCTAGAAATTAACCTAAATAGGTCAAAGGTCAGAAAGAAGTTCACAAGCTTCAGGTCCTACCAAAGCAGAGCTGGTGGAAATTTTGGCAACATCATTCTACCACAAACAAAAAACGCTTGCTTTTTTTTATTCCCGATATCCACAATATTTTGATTCACACATATTTCCCACTGGACTTATCAATGAAACTAAAGAGACAAGTATCATGAATGCAATAAAGAATTTTATAGGTAAATGATCATCTGTCACTGACAGTATGAACATGCATTGTTGACTTTCAGAGAGCTTTGACCTTTAGATTGGTTGTCTGAGATCTTATTTCGGATTTGGTGCCCCTGATACAATTTCGTTTTTATTTCTCAATAGTCTTAATAGACTATGCGCCAGATTGTTTACTTACTTAATACTTATCAATGTCAGAATAGAAACAAAGAGATAAAAGTCAGTTGCCCGTGTCAAGAAAGCTTACAGAATCAAAATAGTCTGTCAGCTGTTGCTGTCCATAAAAGCGATATTTTACACATAGAAATCGAGCACAGAAATGAACAATACAGCTATTCCGGCCATCAGGCCATCAATCGAATCATCATTCTTCATTTAACTGATATTTCCATTCATTTGGTTAGTTGTCCGAGACTGAATGTTGTCAAGTTTGAGAGTGTATTTTTACGAACAGCAACATCAACATTATAGATTACATCACAGTCCCTCAACACTGTGATTACATTAAAGACGCGTTGAAAAGAAAGTCCATTTTGGGCTAGTGCCATTGTCAAATTTCGGAGAGGAGAGGACTTTTTATACTGGAAATTTTCCAGTACGGCTTTGTTTGATTGGCATATCAAAATCCTAGAATTAAATAGGACATGTTCTATATATTCACCAAAATAACAACGTTGCCATGTTTCTAGGCAAACAACGAACTTGAAACAAAAGAAATCGTTCGATCCAAACACCTGCGTTCTTGGATTTGGAAATTAAGTCTTATGGCCATTGTGTTTCCGAGCGAAAATACCAGCGAAGATTCCCGGAGAACAAATATTAACGCTGTAATTCACTCTGATGTGGGAATAGATGACAAAGGTCAAAACAAATTGAGTGAATCCGAAAACGTAACTTACTGCACGTGAATTTCACGACGAAGTTTTCAATGTTCTGATTATCTCTGTGCGACTGCAGTCTTTATAAACAAAATTGAGGGACTCAATGTAAAACGCAATGTATGGCACGACAAAAACACAATGTAGTGCAAGTAATGCAATATCATGACAAATGTTTCGAATGTTCGCCCATTCTTCCATATTTATTTGGCGATATGAATGAAACAGCAGACCGCTTCGATAGATTATATTATTGGAGGCGCCCGGGTAATCAAAATTTTGCGTGAATGGCTTTTCGAGCAAAAAATGTCGGGATCAAAAAAAAAAAGAAAAGAATTTTCACCCAATCATTCATTTTGAGGGTGATATATCATTGATTCAGCCCAGCGGTAATATAGCTTATTTATTAGAGGCGCCAGGGAACCAAATATTGGGACGTGAATTATTTGGACGACAATTATAACCAAGAGGTGAGAGACTACTTACCGCAGTGACTACAGCTACAGTGACTGCGAGCCCAATCATATTTTAATTTTAGTAAGCGAGGGTAAAACCCGTACTTACATTGTATGCTATGAGAAAGAACAGATCTTGAACATACTTTATTACATTAAGTACTGTTTTGGATTGCCTAGCATGGCGAACGCAATTAACTGCGAAGTTTAAATGTTGTATAAGAGCTGTCGGAAAAATTCAATATGGCGACACGACAACTTCCGGTATGTTAGTTGAAAATTTGTTTGAGTTTTCTCGGTGATAGCTACGTAAAACATTGTTTCAACTACGTAACAGTAGACTTACCGGGGTAGATTGCATCGTATAAAACAACATTACATTTCTTTTCGACAGCGCAGAATGACAGCCCAACTAGTGGGCAATTTGGATAAAAAAGAATTGTAAAATTAATAGATCAAAAATGGAAACATTGTTTAAACTTCATAACAATTGACCTAGATTGTGCCTGGAAAACAAAAATAATTTGTATACGAATGAAGAGAAGAAACTGATTTGTACTTTTCGATGTCCCTACAAATGTTATAACTGTTACAGTATTTTGGTTGCGTTGATAAACAGGTTTGAAAATCATTGTCGTAACCATATTTTGAATGGGGCACAGTATGAATTTTCTCGATGGCGCAGAATATGGCACAGAATGATGGTGCAACTAGGGAGGCGCCCAATGCTTATTTGGGGAAATGCACACATACATAATATATATATAACATACTACTGATTATCTCTAATTGCATTAGAGTTCACCTAAGTATGCATCAGTAACATTTCCTTTTTTATTCCCTAATGATTTAAAAAAATAACCAAAGGCAGCAGAAGAAAGCATGGTAGATGTAGGGGGAGTGATGTTACTGTGTCATACGAAGATGAGAAGATACCGTACTGATCCGGGTAAGAGCCCATGCCTGGGCAAACGCCCACCCCCCACTTTTGACACAATAAAGAAGTTGAGGTCATATCCGGGCACACGCCCAGGTTTTTTTTTTCTACACAAAAAATAACAAACTACCGGGGTATTTTCTATTCGTTGACTGTGGTTGTATTAACAGTTGACTTTCTTGAAGTCTGTCGTGATGCTTATAAAAATTCTTTAAATATAATTGTTAATTGCGTAAAACAAAGGATGAACGCGAAACAGCTGTGACAGCTTTCTTCCTTCAAGGCAGTGCGTTCCCGGCTGATTTTTTTCAGAATCATAAAGTCAGCAAGTCTATAAAAATATATATTAAAGCAGAAACGGTAGTTCTCTTTTTGAAATATGTCGTGGCCTTAAAAAGGGTCGGCCGCTTGGTTTGTGCTTCCTTAGAAACGATTCAAGCAAATCGTATAAGGAAAGCCGCTAAGCAAATATCGCACTCATTCGGATTTAGCGTCGTTGACAATGAAACCAATGTTGCAATATTGTAGCAACCCTTACCTGGGAGAGTGGTTGAAATGGTAGCAGGTCAACTCAACCCCAAGTCAACTCGACCCCAGTAAACTCGACCTCCAAGTCAACTCGACCTCCAAGTCAACTCAACCCCAAGTCAACTCAACCCCAAGTCAACTCAACCCCAAGTCAACTCAACCCAAAGTCAACTCGACCCTGTATTAGTGTAGGTATATTGGCGGTGTTGGTGACACACTGCGCTGTCGATTTCACCTACTTAAGATATTCTTGTGTGCGCTATGGCTAACAGCTAGTATGTTGTTGATTTCACTAACTTACGTACACTATATAGTTTCACTATGTTAGTGATTATGAAAGATACAATGTATATGGAACGACCCCGCTAGATCCCAACCGTTTCGTCTTACGTCGCCACCATCTTCGATGTTCCATTCATCAAAGGGGTGTAGCCGTTACGACTGTTGTTCGTAACATTGGGATTTGGGTGTATCAAACTAGAGTATAACATTTTGTTCATTGATTTTAGAATAACATTGCATTGTATTTTCTAGTTTCCAGGCCATTCGACGTTCTTTTTTTATGTTGTGTGGGAGCAATGAACAGCATCTCATACGTAAGGTTCATTCATATTAAATAAACATATTCGTATTATGTATGTTGTACGATTGAATCTGTATTGTTGTAGTCAATAAAATATCATAGAAAAAGGGATTCGAAGTGTTGTATGTCCCATTGTTTACAGAACGATAGAAAAACTCAATATGATGTCACTACTATACGTTAATGTGATGTAATACACATGTTTCAAGAGAGTGTTACCGCAACACCTTTGAAAGGAGTGTTACCGCAACACCTTTGAAAGGGGTGTTACCGCAACACCTTTGAAAGGAGTGTTGCCGCCACACCTTTGAAAGGGGTGTTACCGCAACACCTTTGAAAGGAGTGTTACTGCAACACCTTCGTAACTTGAAAACATGAGCGCTTATTTACCTTTGAGCTTGAATAACTTTTGATCTGAAATATGTATTTTACAGTATCAAGTGTGATTTCATCTTTACATACAATAACAATAGTAATACTTTAAATGTTAGTCTTATTTAAATGTAAATACTGGCCGTTTATGTCCAGAGTTTCGGCACTTATATTACAAATCTACTTAAGACATTATGACCTATTTTCCGAATCGTTTTTACAAATGTAAAGTTTACCAAATACACTATGAGCCGTAGTACAAAACTCGTTTGGCATATCATGTCGTAAGGCCAGCGGCACACTGGCACGCTTATATATTAAAATTTAAAATGTCGAACACTTTTTTACCGTGAACTTTTAGTTAACACTTGATTCACATGGCCACTTTTGCGTAAAGCGTGTAGCCAAAGTTCGGACAGCAAATATAATTCTGAGATGAAAGAATATCATTGTTGGGACCATACGCTGTAGTATTTGAACAAGCTGTGAAAAACGGCAGCTCGTGTCATATACCTCAACATCAACAGGTGTTGTCGCTGTTAATCGAATGGATTAAGTCTCATTCTGCTCTAACAATAGACGTAAAATAACGTGTGTACAATTAGTACATACTTTCATTGTTCTATACATGAGAAAGTGTTAAGTACCTTAATATGTGAGATTATCCAATGAGCGTGATTTAAATGGTATAAGTACAGATCATTTATAGGGACATATAACCACTCTGATTGATTTATCATCAAGTGCACAAGTATCCTCCGTTATAGCAATATCTACCCGACGTTATGAATACCAGAAACCAGAGAAGTCGCTGTGTGGTCGTTGTCGAAAACCCATGCATCAAGTGTAAGCTTGAAGTGACGTCACGCCATGGAGTGTGACGGATGTGGATTTTGGCAACACAGAAAATGTGGTAGTGGAATAACAGCAGCATTTTATAATGATG